AAAAAAAAAAAAAAAAAAAAAAATCTGACAAATGCCTTGGTATTTCATAAGTAAGAGCTTCTACAGCCTCAGTAAACTGCTTCAAGATTCATCAAGCTCTAGTTTATTTTTGCACCAAATAATAGTAAATTTTCTGGTTTAAGACTTTAGGGATAAAAAAGATAGCATCTAAAAATGAAAAGAACTTTCACAGACAGTTCTTTTTACCATGATGCTCTTATTGGGCTCTACCCTGAGGGCTTTCTCATTTTATCAGCCATTCATATTATGCTTTAGACCTAAACATTAATTCACCCATACAAAACAAGCCAATTTTTGTCACTTATAGAGGTTTCCTAAAATATGCAATAAAAGCCACAGAATTCTGAGGTTTTAAGGGGTGTGGGGAGATAAGAATGAAACTATCATCTTCATGATTGGTAAAGCAGAATTGGAAGACACAGTTTGAATCACTAGCCAAAATATGCTTTCTGCATTCTTCCCCTTGGGATACGCAAGTGAGGCAAATCACGTCTACAGAGCAGACACTTAACTACCAAGTCTTAGGCATCTTCCACAAAAGCAACAAAATTAATGCTGGAGGCAGGAAGGAGGCAATCTGTAGGCCTGAGCAACATGTGTCCTGTCTGCTCCTCAATTTCACCCACCACGGAAGCCCCAGTAAGAAATGTGATTTGGAAAGAAGTTCTCTATAATGTGCATATTTGAGGGGCTAAAATAATAAAGGAAAAAATGATTCCTGCTATACAAAATAACTACACCATTAATTTGATAATAAAATAAGAATCAGTTCAGATCAACTTATAGTAAGTACTAATCATACTGATCAATTTAGATTTTTCTCAAGTTATAATTCACACTGATTCTTAGTGAAGAACTACAGCTATACAACAATAATTTTAAGTGTTTACTCAGTAAGAAGTATTGTACTTACCAGCTAATTTTCCAGTAATTAAAACAGTGTCTTCAAATAGCCATATATTTGCTTGGCTTTGCGGGAACAGTGAAAGTGTAACTGATGAATATACTGTGAAATGTAGCACAATTAGAATATTTTACTTAATGTAAGCAGGAAAAAACTAGAGTAAATATAGTTTTGTAACAGCAAGTCCTAAAAAGTAGGGGGAAAAAACTACTTGATGGGAAAAGCAATTCAAAACAAAGGATGAATATATATAAAATGTGATGGAGGAAAAACGGTCACAATAAAGTGAAAAGAAATCATTCATTATCACTATTTATTTTACTAATCTTTTCTATTTGATAGTAGTAGTCTATACCAAGGTGATGAATGATGTTCTGTAACTAACCCCAGATGTAAATGATCAAGTTGAATGCTTGAATAACCTCCTGATATATTTTCTCTAATTGTTACCTGTTATTCTTAAGATTAAAAAAATTTTTTTCTTGGCTCCATGATTCAGAGTTCTCTAGACAGAAACTCTATCCACATTTCATTTTTTCCTTCCCACATAAGAGCACAATGCTCTTCTGCACACAGTGTGGTTTGCCAAAAGTTGGCAGAGAAGGAGACAATTTAGCACACAAAATGATTCAAAGGCAACCTTTAGTAGTATTGCAGGAGGGAGCTAAACCTGCCTACAAGAGTAAGCAGCTGAAATACCTGTTGGGATGAATAAGTGCAGATCACATGAAAGATATTATTTCAAGATTGGAGCAAGAAGCTGGGACAAAAGACTATTTTATAAGCAAGATCAAAGCAGACTTATCAATCCTCCAAAAAAGAAAATTACTTTTGAGGAATTCCCAAAGCCCAAGTTCTTGTTTGATATTTTTCCTTTGTGCTGTGTATTTAAAATTAACAGAAATAGCATGGCATCCTCAAATCTCTTAAGACATAACACAATTGCATGGAAATCCTTTTATTATTTTGAGATATTTCAAATAATTTTTTAAAATATGGAAAAAAGTAAAATATAAAACGTATACAATGATGGACAGAGGTAAAATACACTTTTCTCCTTCTATAGGAAAAGCAAACTGCCAAATAAAAATGTAATTTCAATTTCAGAATATATTAACATATAGACTGATTAATGGATTTATTAAATTGGAGAGGTTGGAGAGTTACAGTTTGAATCTCAAGGTGATTATAAGTAAGACATTATCCCATATTTGGATACTTTCTCAATCACACATCTACTAAACACGAGGAGAATCTTTCTGAAGCTCACATTCAGATTTATTTTCATGTGAAAATTGTTTCCTATTACAAAAGGGGTGTAATACACACTGTGAAAAACTTGAACACAGAAAATGAGATGAAAGTGATGCTCATCACACCACCACCACAGGGACAATCATTAATAATATTTTATTATAGCTTTTTGTTGGTTATACCTGTGATTTTTTTTAAAAGACAGCAAGTTATGATATTGTATACAGAATACTGTTACCCTGACTTTTTCATTTAATAACATAAGCATTTCTCTCAAAAGACATTTTTCATAATATTTTAACACACATATTTCATTTATTAAGGTATTAAGATTTATGTATTTACTGCATTAATCTGACAGAATGTTTCCATTTCACTATTACAAAAACATTGCATCAACATCCTGGCACACGAATACCTGTCCACTGTATTTAATATTTTAATGCATGTTTATTTGTGCAGATTCAAAAGGTGCAATACTGGGTCAAAGTTTATGAAGACTTTGATACACACATTTCAAAATTGTTACCCAGGTAATTTTGCCAGTTTGTACTTCTGTTAAGAATGTTTCAGAATGCTGGTCCTATCTTATTTGACAACATTAAAGATAAACTTTTTTTAGGTTAAAAAAAAAAAAAAACTAAGAATTGTGTATTTCTTTGGTATACCAATCTTGATTATTAGATAAAACATGTTATCATATTTACTAACCATTTGTATTTCCCATTTTGAAAATCGTTAGGCCATGATTTTGTCCATCTACCTTATTTAGTTAGGGCCTTGGCATTTGCTTATTAATTTGTATGGATTCTTTGCATATTAAGGTTCATGCCTTTACTGTTTCAAATACTTTTCCAACCTCAGTTGCTTTTTATATTTATAACATACAGGAGTTTATTAAAATAAGTTCATATCTAACTTTTATTGCTTTTATGTTTAAACAGACAATACTAACTGAAAGGTCAGATAGTTTATTTTTTTATATCTAATATAATTATTTTATACATTTGATCTCTCTAAGAAATATATTTTCACATATGAATCCAGTTAATTTATTCCAAATAGTTAACCAAAATATCTCAATATCATTTACTGACTATTCAGCCTTTTTTCAATGATTTCTAATGGCATCTTATCATAGATAATATTTTTATAAATACTAAGTGTCCAATATGTACCATAATAAAAATTATAAAACTCACTCTTAATTTTGTAGATATATATTTTAGTTGTAATGGCAAATTGCCCCTAGATGTTCTTTTAAAATATTCCCATGTATCTTTACACATGTACTCTTTAAAGATTATTTTTGCCAATTTTGAAAAATGAACTAAATTTACAAATTGTGGAAGAAATGAAATCTTTACAATATTCAGACTTCTTAAGAAAAAATATTTTTTTTCCCATTTGTTCAGGGCTTTAGTTTGTTTGTTTGGTTTTTTAGGTCTATTAATAAAATTTGGAAGTTTTAGTGTCCCCACATATACAGCTGTTTTACTTTTTTTTCACTCAGGTTTCCCTGTATATTTTATTTGTTGGTTTATAAGAACATGTACTAATTTGCTATCAATAGATCTGTTGAAATTCCATCAATTTTAAGAGTTTTAAGTTCAATGCTCTGTAGTTTTCCAGACCATCATATGATCACCACCAGGAAATGACAGTGGTTTGCATCTTCCTTTCTAATAGTTATCTGCTTTTTTTTGTCTCTTAATATCTAAAAAGAAAGAACAACTGCAATGTAAAATAATATGGATATCTGTGTTCAGCTTATTTTAGTAGGATCATCTCTAATGTTTTATAGTTAAGTATGATTGTGAGATATTTACCATGTTAGGTATGTATTTGTTGTCATGGATTTTAAAGAGCTTTTTTCCTTTTCTTTTTTGAGAGTCTCACTCTATCACCCAGGCTGGAGTGCCATGATGTGATCTCGGCTCACTGCAACCTCTGCCTCCTGAGTTCAAGTGATTCTCCTGCTTCAACCTCTCGAGTAGCTGAGATTACCGGTGCACACCACCATGCCCAGCTAATTTTTTGTATTTTTAGTAGAGACAGGGTTTTACCATGCTGGCCAGGCTGGTCTTGAACTTCTAACCTCATGATCTGCCCACCTTGGCCTCCCAAAGTGCTGGGACTACAGGCTTGAGCCACTGTACCCAGGAGAGTTTTTTCTTAGTTAGAAATGGATAGTAAATGTATAAAGTCCTTTCAGACAACTACTGATAATAGCATATGGTAGCTGTAATTTTTTCTATTAATATGATATGTAAAGACTTTGACACATATTTGACACCTTTTCAATCCTGCAAAGAAAAGATGTCCTACTTGGTCTTGACAGAATGTTACATTTAAATAATGGCAAAATTCTTTTTACTCTTCTGTTTTAGGATTTTTGCTATTAGAGTTACAAACTAAGATGGGTCCATACAGGGATGTGTGTGTGTATAGGAGAAAGACTACATATAAAGGCATTTAACATTTTTATTACTTTTGTTAGGTCTTAGAATCAAGGCTATGCTAGTTTTGTGAAATGATTTGGAGTACTTCTAAAATCTTTGAATTGGGTTATTTGTACCTGAAACATTCTATCCAATGGTTATTAGTCTATACCATCTACTACCAATATATATTGTATATCAGAAAATTACTCACTTTATTGAACTTTTTAAGATCCTTGCCATCTAATTTGGTGTAGAACATTTTCATGACATTTTTAAAGCTTTTATATATTTCTCATCTTTTCCTTGTCTATTTCATTCATTTTTATTTAGATTAGCAGATGTATGTATAATTTATTGTTTATTTCAGAAAACTAGCCTTTTGTCAATTATCTTTTCTTTAAATCTTCCAGTGTATGCTAATTCACTTTGATCTTTATTATTTCTTTTTTCTTGTTTTATTTTCTAGCTTATTGAATGAATAGTTGTGCTTAATTTCTGTCTTTTGAGAACAATTATTTAAACAATGAGTTCACCTCAAACACATTCATATTCTGATTTTCTAGTTATGACATTGCAGTTTTATTCATATGAATTTTATTGAATTCATTTTTTATTTCTCATTCTAAATTGAAATAATGGCTCAAGAATTCAAATGTTTCCAATATGAAATCAAATAAAACATCTAAATTCTAACAAAAGCCACCATAATGATTTGAAAAAGATGGACAACCTCATGTATCATCCTTCCAGTGAGTCAGAGTTGCATTCTAATATCTCATAGGGCACACTGTTCCCAATATTCAGTTAGTCATACAAAGTGCTACCAAGTCTTTCTTCAGCATATCTCTTGTACTCACCCCGTCCTTTCCATTTGCTCTCTTGCTTCAGTCTGTTGTTACCATAAGCCACGAGCACTGCCACCACTTCCTAGCCAGGCTCCCTGAATCTATTTTAGCCCAGCTGCTGGCTTTCATTATATGCTGTTGAGTAAATCCAGTTTCCAAACAACCTACACTCATTGTGCTCAAGAATCCACTATAACAACTGCCGTATTATTCAGCTTATAAGTCCTGTCTGTCTCATCATTTAATAACATCCTTTCTTCATCTGGCCCCACTTTATCTAGCCCACCCTGCTTCTCACTGATTCTTTGGGCATGCCAATCCCTCTACCACAGGCAAGCTATGTCCAGAGCAGAGCTCTTGCTCAGGATTACTTCAAACACCTCTAGAAGGAAAAATGCCTTCACGATTGCTATGGTCTGAAAGTTGACATCTCTGCAAAATTTATATGTTGAAATCCTAACCTCCAAGGTAAGGTAGGGTTGGGAGGTGATTAGGTCAAGAGGACAAAGATGGAAATGGGTCCCTCTCTTCAGTGAACTCAACCTGATTCACTAAAGTGTAATTCGCAAAGTAACAGTTATGAAGCCCAGAACAAGTGCCAGGTTCAGGAGAGACCTTGAGGTCGCATGGAGACCCCGTATGGTAGGGGTCATGTAGCTCTCTACTGGCCATTCCTATCACAGAGCCATGTTTTGGCTACCTGGGGTCCCCTGAGGACACAGGATTAATCTTGCAGGTTCTAGAGGACAGAGCCAAGACCTACATGTTAGGGAGGTTTCAGACAGTTTACCTGTTAGGACATAAGACCCTTGCTTGCAAGCAGAACTAAAACAGGCACAAGAGAACTTGTTTGCCCATTCTACCATGTGAGGACAGACAGAAGATGTTATTTCCAAAAAAGCAAGCCCTCACCAGACACAGAATCTGTTGGCACATTGATCTTAGACTTCCCAGACTCCAGAACTGCAAGAAATAAAATTTTCTTGTTTACAAGCTACCCGGCTTATAGTAGCCTGAAAAGGCTAAGACAACGTTTTCTTCAAACTGGCACTCCTTTCTAACCTCCTTATATTGACTTTACTAAGCATTCTCATTTTCAGCTTACCAGAACAAGATATTCCCCAAACAGAGAAAAAAATTCATTTACATTTAGCAAAAACAAAACACGTTTAATTGCTTACTTGGCATTCTTCCGGTTTTCCAAGGCAGAGGGGTCAACACGTAGCCATCTTTGTAAGCAATAATAGTTAAACTAAGTCCTAATTTGTAGGGTACTTTTATCAACACTGCTCCATTGTTTTGAGTTACTGTGGAATTTGTTTTCGTGTAGTTTACAAACACTTCTACAACTGCTTGGCTCAGGTGCTGACGACTTATGATGTCATTCACCTGGACTTTCAGCATAAATACAGACACTGGAAGAGAAAAGGGTAGAAATTGCAGTATGTTGTATCCTAGACTGCATAGGTCATAGGCTTTAAATGTCATTCAACATATCTAAATAACAGTATAAAACTGTTGTTAAATTTAGGAACTACAAATAAATACACATAATAATCAAGAATTCATTATTCCTCCTAAAACAAAATAAATTCGAATACAGACAAGTGCTCCCTAACAACATTTCAGTCAATGGTGGACCACATATATAATCTTCGACAAGATTATAATAGAGCTAAAAAATTCCCATTGCCTAGTGGCATCATAGCCATCATAGTGTTGCAGTGCAATGCATACTCACGTGTTACCGGTGACGCTGGTATAAACAAACCTACTGTGCTGCAAGTTGTATGAGAGTATAGCATATATAATAAAACTTGATAGATGACTATGTTCCTAGTTTATGAATTTACTATACCTTTTAATCATAATTTTGACAATGCAATCCTTCTACATATGAAAATAAGTTAACTGTAAAAAGACTCAGGCAGGTTCTTCAAGAGGTATTCCAAAAAAATAAAGGCATTGTTATCTTAGGAGATGACAGTTCCATGTGTGCTGCTGCCCATGAAGACCTTCCAGTGGGACAAGATGTGGAGGTGGAAGACAGTAATATTGATGATTCTGCCTTGTATAGGCCTGGGCTAATGTTTGTATTTGTGTCTTAGTTTTTTTTTTTTTTTTATTGTACGTTAGGTTCTGGGGTACATGTGCAGATCATGCAGGATTGTTGCACAGGTACACACATGGCAATGTGGTTTGCTGCCTCCATCCCCCCATCACCTACATCTGGCATTTCTCCCTATGTTATCCCTTCCTGACATCCCAAGCTGTGTCTCCCTTGGCACCCCCCAACAGACCCCAGTGTGTGATGCTCCCCTCCCTGTGTCCATGTGTTCTCATTGTTCAACACTTGTCTATGAGTGAGAACATGCAGTGTTTGATTTTCTGTTCTTGTGTCAGTTTACTGAGAATGATGGTTTCCAGATTCATCTGTTTTTTAACAACAACAAAAGTTTAAAAAGTAAAAGGTAAAAAATTTTAAAAATAGAAAAAAGCTTATCAAATAAGGATAGAAAAAATTTGTACAGCTGTACAATGTGTTTCTTTTAAGCTAAGTGCATTACAAAGTAATCAAAAAGTTTAAATTTTTAAAAAATTTATGAAGTTGTAGTAAGCTAAGGTTAACTTATTGAAGAAAAAAATATTTTTTCTAAATTCAATATAGCCTAAGTACACCACGGTGCAGTGTTTACAAAGTCTACAGTAGCATACAGTAATATCCTAGGGCATCACATTCACACTCACCCAGAGCAACTTCCAGTTCTGCAACCTCCATTCGTGGTAAGTGCCCTTTACAAGTGTACTATTTAAAAAAAATCTTTTGTATGGTCTTTTAATTGTGCCTTTTCTATGCTGAGATATGTTTAGATGCACTGACACTTAAAACTGTGTTACAATTGCCTACAGTATCCAGTACAGTTACATGCTGTACAGGTTTGTAGCTTGGGAGCAATAGGCTATACCACATAGCCTAGTTGTGCAGTAGACCTCACCATTTAGGTTTGTGTAAGTATACTATGATGTTCACAAAACAATAAAATCACCTAACAAGGCATTTCTAATAGTGTATTGTCATTGTTAAGTTATATATGGCTGTATTTGTTATTAAGGCACAATATTACTCCATTTTTTTCCTATCAATTAAAAAAGGAGAAGAAAGGACAGCAGCAAATGATAGGTAGAGGTTCTCTCTTAAGGAAAATACATTTTTATTGTGTCTCACTAACTCTAATGCTATCAATAGCAACAGGAGACAGACAAATTCCTAGAAAGTCAGAAATGGGTCCCCTTTCAGTGCCAACCTTCAAGCCAAAGAAAGCCTGAACCCTGAAAACTGAACTGCCAGTTTTGGGCAGAGTCCTTGACTGGAGTGAGAACTTCTATCCTAGTCTTACACTCTCTTGATTGGTTCCTTTTGGATGATGCCTTTTAACCAATCGAATGGTGCTTTTTCCAAGACCACACATGGACTATTCAGCATGTACTTTCCCATTTTAAGCCCACAAAAACCCCAGACTCAGCCTCACAGATGGCTACCCTGCTTTCAGGGTTCACTCTCCACTAAGAGCTTTCCTTCTGTTGCTCAATAATTCTTCTCTCTGGTGTCTGTGTATCTTATTCCTCTTGGGCATGGGATAAGAACCTGGAATTCACCAAATTGCAGGCAGTGGAAATGAACAAGCTGTAACCCAACTTCTGCCCATTGGGCTGTGGACAGTGGAATTAAAATAGCTGTATTCCTGCTCACCAAGCTAGAGTAGTAGAGGGCTGCAACATTTCTGGAAGCTCAAACCTTAGGTCTCCCCAAGCAAGAGCTGTCACACCCCTTGGGGCTCCATGATCACTGGCATCTCTGAGTTTTTGGGTACCACCACGTTCTTCTAGTCTAGACGCCAGCACCCAACACAGAAACCACTTGTGGCATGCCCAGTCCAGCCACAGGCTGAGCGTGGAGCCACAGCGGGTACGGGATCTGAGCAGGCATGAGCCAAGTGCAGCCTGCTGGGCTGAGCAAGACCAAGACAGTGGTGGCTGCAGACATTTCTAACTGTCAAAGCAGCACCAAACAAATTCTGTAACACTATTAAAGTTATATAGATTTAACACGTTCCAAATGTAGTCAAAGCTCTTAGAATATAATGCCATTACTGCATGGCTAGCTCTTTTATTTTTTTCTGTTGTCTGAAAAGCAGATGATGTTTTACAGTGCCAAATATACAAAATATCAAACAAAAATCCTTTTTTAAAATATAAAAAGCACTATCCATTATGTATATAAGAAAACAAGGCTGGGCATTATGGCTCATGCTTGTAATCCCAGCACTTTAGGAGGCTAAGGCAAGAGGATTGCTTGAGGCTCGGAGTTTAAGACCAGCCTACGTTACATAATGAGACCCTGTCTCTACAAAAATATTAAAATTAGTTGGGTGTACTGGCATGTGCCTGTAGTCCCAGCTACTTGGGAGGGTGAGATGGGAGGATCATTTATCCCAGGAGGTCAAAGCTGCAGTGAGCCATGATCACACCACTGCATTCCAGCCTGGGCAACACATTGAGACTCTGTCTCCTTAAAAAAAAAAAAAAGAAAAAAGAAAAAGAAAGAAAGAGAAAAGAAACTAACATATGTTGAGGAAAATGAAAACTAAAGCCTGTTTCTACCTAAACCTCTGGTCTTACTGTTTAAGTGCAGATCTTGGTAACGTCTGCCTGAGAAAGAACTTGTACCACCATGAAAGTGTCTTTGCAAGCATGTATCACATCTCTGTGAAAGATGCTTTCTTTTCTCCTGTAAGCAAGCTCTGGAGTCAGTCACCATCCACCTCTGCCATTCCTAAGACATGTGACTTTGGGTAAGTTAGGTCTCAAAATCCATTTACTCATATGTAAAATCAGGAAAATAGTTAACTACTTTGAGATAATGATATGTCCATTACAGAGCTTGTGTATCATTTAATGTGATTAGTAACAAAAATTATTATTCTACGATTAGAAAGCACTTCACAAACATTACAGTACACTGATAAGAATTATCATAAACATTGATTACACTGCAATACATCTGCATAAACCTATTTTTAATCAAAACTTTTATCAAGAACAGCACATCAGATTAAAATTCTAGTCAATGTTGACTGAGCCTCAATATTGCTACCAAAATATTATTATACCTGTCCATTCTAGCTTTGTTAAACTGGACTTTAAATTGCTTCTGGATCATAACAAAGACATTTTCAAATATAAATAGAATGTTTGTAATAATCACCCAGTCCTAGGGAAGGTACAACACACCAAGCTAGGAAAAAAAAAAATAGCTCTGATCCTTTCTCGAGTCTAAAATGTTATCCAAACACTTCTCTTTCTCTCTCTCTCTCTCTCTCTACACACACACACACACACACACACACACACACGGGGCGGGGAGAGAGAGAGCGAGAGAGAGAGACAGACAAACATATTTCAGGATACCTCCTCTTATAAAGATTTTAACCATAATAAAAACTAAAACGTTCTAGGGGTAATGAGCCAAGCATTGTGTTAGTTTTTAAGTTCATTATTCTATTTACTCTTCAAAAAACCCTCATTGGAGAGATGCTATTTTATTTTATACATATTGATAACTGAGAGTTGCGGAGGTTTGAAAATGAGCCATGGCTAACCCTCAGTAAATGGACAAAACAGGACATAAACTCAGGACACCTCTCATTAAAGCTTATGCTTGTAAACCATTGCCCTACATCTGCCTGGTTACTCTCTTAAAAGCAATTAGTATCTCAGTTTAAAGTGTGGAGTTGGGAAGAATTGAGAAAAGCAAAGAGATGATTACATCAAATCATACCTTAAATTGAGGTTTCATGAGTCTGTCTGAAACACTGAATTTCCTGAACAACAATCTCATATATATTTAAATGCTAATATGGGGAAGGGATTCCAAGATAATATAGAGATAAATAAAGTTTATCCATACATCTGCTTTGGCATATTTAATAGAGAACCTTATGAGAGGTCAAGTTACTTTGAGTAGTCATTAGTATCATTACTTTTAAGAGCTAAATTGAAGAACATTCGGTTATAAAAGGCCAAATAAGCCATGGGTCTTAAGCTGTTCATCAAGCTATTTTTCCATTATATCATAAATTCAGCTCATTAATAGTATTTTTATAAAATAAATATATCTGTAACAATTTAAACTCAAAAGATGAAGGTAAAGAATAAATATATGTGTCTGAGATTGCCTTTGCAAAAATTCGAAAATTTAAATTGTTGGAGAGATTTGACCTAGCCAACCCCCTTCCTCTTGCCTGTAGCCTTCAAGCTACCTTAATTATTCCTGGGTTAAGTCTGGGCTAGCACTGGGAGATATTTAGTTTATAGTTTAAATAATAATAGCCGTTTCTCCAAACAAAACTGCCTT